TCGCGGGAAAGCTCACCGACGAGGAGCTTGTAACGATTGGGTACGTGCTTTCGGTGGATGAACGCTTGAGGTCTTCGCTAACCATGGCGGCGCGGTGTACAGATTTGGTTGGGTGGACGTCCGGGACCTTGCGACTGCCCACGTTCTTGCCACCACAACGCCCGAGGCCGGCGGAGAGCGTGTCATCGTCAGCGCGGGTGCCTACAAGAACCAGGACTGTCAACATCGCGCATCGCCTCTACCCCAAGCTCCCTGCAGGCAACACGTCGTACGACCCCGCGAAGGCCGTGCACATGATTTCGTTCAACGCGAGCAAGGAGCGCAAGCTCCTTGGTATCAAGTACCACACGATGGAGGAGATGACGAGGGACACACTGGAGGACTTCATCAAGCGTGGCTGGATCTCAGTATGATTCAGAGACATTGAATTCACGTTGCATACCCTGGACTCTGGCTGGATTTGGTTCAATCTACTTACACGCCGCCTGTACCATATTGACAATGGTCGACTAATCCATAGATGCATAGACTCAATATTCATATCTGTGATTGGCGTCATCGATTCCAGCGTGACGGGGACCCATGAAGTCAGGGAGTAGCCTACCAGTAGAGTGTACCCTGGAGGAGTGATCGGGGTGGCACCAAGCATTATATCTTCCCAAGACACGTTGTCTTGTGTGTTACTGACGGTCTGCACACACGCAGTGAGCCAACTAGTCAATAGTCGGACGATGAACCACAACATCAACGGAAAACACCGCAGTCCGAGTTGTCACCCGCACACCTCCCAGCGGCCCTTCCCAACACACCACAGCCTGCCCTCCCTCTTTCCCCACTGCAGCGCCTCCTCCACAGTCCACTCGCCCACCCGCGCCCAGCGCTCGTCGGTGCTCCTCAGCCACCCCAGTAGCTCCTCCTTCGTCGGGCCCGGCGGCGGCCCCGCGCTCGCCCGCTCCTGCGCGCGCAGCCGCTCGATGAGCGATATCGACCTGCTCGCGGACTTCTGCTTCTTCTGCGTTGGGGTCGTCTCCCCAGGACTGATCCTAGCGGACTGCGTCATGATCGTGCGGATCGCACCTTCGAGCACGCGCGAGAAGTACGCGGGGGTGAGCGGGACGTAGGCCTCCTCGTCCGGGGTGGGGTCGCTCAGCGCCTCGTCCTCGTCCCACTCTTCGTAGCGCGATGCTGACGCCGAGGAGGACGAGATAGAGGACGGCGCTGTGGAACTGGTGCTCGTGTTCGCCTTCCAGAGCGTCGAGGACGGGGGCAGGAACGGGTCGAGCGCGGGTGCGGGGAGCGGGTGCACGGGGCCGTTCCACAGGACGATGTCGCCTTCGGAGAAGAGCGTCCGGATGGCCTGCTTGAACAGTCGTTTGACTGCAGGCCCGAGTGGCGCGTCGCTGGTCGCTCGTGCTGATGAGACGGAAGACGCGGAAGACGCAGATGGTTGTTGGGAACGCGAGCCTTGAGCTTTGGCGGCTTTCTCTTTCTCTTTCTCTTTCTTGCGTTCTTCCTTGGCGCGACGGTGTGCATCGGCCTTCACCACCCGGCGTGCCAGCAGCGACAGTTCTGGGACACGCCGGAGGTGAGACAGCGTGTAGCCATACATCTGATCGTCGTCGTCCAGTTCATCCTCTGAGTCGTCACCAGAGGCGGCGCCAGAGATCAGAGAAGGACGGGGTGTACGATCGGTGCTAGGAGCTACTACTATACGGGACGGGCGAGGGGTTGCGTCGCTCTGGGTCCCAGGATGCGACCTGGTCGGGGTCCCCAAGGCGTCCCTCTGGCGTTGGGAATGCCTAGGAGTCGGCGAGGGAGACGACGATCGTGAGCGAGCGCGTCGGCGAGGAAGAGAGGGTGGCGGCGCATTGTCCATGTAGTGCTTGACATATATGCGGAAGGTGTTTGCAGTGAGGTCGCGCGTGTGCAGGCGAGACGGGTGTCGCAATCGTACCTACAAGACTGTCATGAGGTGTGTAGCGATTACGGAGAGACCCGCTTACCTGGTGTTCCGAAGTGGTGCTCGAAGCGGCAGAGGAGGATGCGACGGTGCTGGGAGAAGTTGTCGTTGAGGACGCGGCAGAGCGGACAGAAGCCGGAGTCTGCGGTTCCTGCGTCGCTGCACGCTTTGATGGCGAGGTTGGTACGGGAAATTGAGAGACACTTGGTGCGGGCAAGGGCGGTGGGACGAATGGAGGTAGCGGCTCGGAGGGATGATATGCCGTGCGATGTAGATCAGATACAGCGATGCAGTGGTTAGATTCGTCATTATATGAAGAACAGGGTACTGCGAAAATTAATTACCTCCACCGCAGCCAATGACGCGAGGACTCACCAATCTCGTCGATGAGAAGAATACGGGTATCGTGTCGAATGACCACGCGCCCGACCACTCGCGCGGACTGACCAACCCGAACTACAGGCTTGGGTGGTGGGGTTGGTTCTGGGAGAGTTCGTGGACTAGATGTTGTAGATAACGAGGATGCAATAGATGAAGACGCCATGGACGAAGATAAGGGGACTCTGCGAGCGGAGGGAAGGTAGTCGGCGAAGGAAGGTTTCATTCCCTTCGTCCCTATCTTGGACGACGGCGCGAGCTTGGCTGGGGATTTGGGCTTGACAGGACTCGGAGGTCTTACTTGGGCATGTGCGATAGCGCAGTCAAGTACCGCAGTTCCATCGTCGAGCGTGTATACAGTGCGTTTCTCCCAGACTTGTACACCGACTACAAGACCTACGAGACGCACCGTCCGACAGGGGATGCGACCCAGCCAGAAGTATTCCATGTCTAGCTCAACGTTAGTTTACAGCTACATGTCAGAGGGTAGCGACTCACCTCTCATCCCACACTCCCTCATCTCGAATACATCCCTGACGAAGCAAGACGCAATCGCTGCTTTGGTGAACGTCCATCGGAGAATCTCCGCAGGAGTTGGCTGAGTAGTTCCCGCATCTTTGCTCCTCTCAACACGTTGGCTGGTGTCATCTTTGCTTCTCGAAGGCTGTTCTGCGTCTGTTCGTCGACGCTTCGAAGGTGAGAGTAGGATTGATGAATTGTTGCGCGAGATGGAGGTCCGTGTTCGAGGAATGGTGGTTGTCGTGCTCATACAGAGAGTCTTTGTGTACGTACGCTAGTCTATGTGTGAAAAGGGACGCGTTGTGTGAGAAGGACCGGGAGAAGAGGCTGGCGGTAGAGGTTGAAGTCGGTGCGCAGGAGGCGCGCGTCGCGTCGCGTTTCTTACACGTGCACAGCAGATAAAAGCACGTGACCACCTTCCCGTTTCGTGCTGCTCACGACTTCTGCCGCTGCGGCACCGCTAATGTTGTCTCTCTCCTCTGGCTTTCATGCACACCGTACTTTGATCGCTGAACACAAGCTACATTTGCTTTGGGCTTAAGGCAGCATAACATATCGTCTTATGAAGGTTCCGACGTTCGCGCGGCTGCAACCGCATGTTGCAAAGATGGTGCGCTGAGAGTCCACAGCAGAGCAGTTCCAGTACAGAGGGACATTATGATGTATTCTGACGATTAAACGAACTGTCGGAGTCTCCAGGAGCACGCCGTCGTGCGCTATTTCGTAAGGTACTGTGTACTTTCTGAGGTGCCGAGTGCTGACGATGGTCGACTAATTGTCGCCCTCAAACGCAGGTATCGGTACTCGCGGGTCGACACAGCTGCACTTTGCCGTTCGACCATGTACACGTGCACGATCCCTCCGCGGCGTCATGGAGAGACGGGAATGACGACGCCCGTCATCCCGACCTTTCGACGGTCAGCGTCGTTGCCAAACACGGCAACCCCTTTGCCTGAATAGGTTAGCAGTGACCTCACGATCGATGCTCTCCGCCCCCCGCCGAAGAGGTATATGAACCAGAAGGACCCGCTATGGACGAGTATCTTCCTTTCCCCCGCACGACTCTCGTAGCAAATACCGCCAGCATGAGCGCGCAACCCGGACACGCTTCGAACCTCGCATCGGGCAATCCCAATGCCCGCCTCCATACGAATGGACAAGGTGGCCGACCCAGGGTGCGTTCCAAAGTTCCCAAGTAATTTAGGACGTCGTTGACGAGCGGTTTCCCAGACCATGATCCTCGGCATGGCCACCGTCGCCGCCGGACTCGGCATGTTCTGGCTTGTTCAGTTCAAGAAGCAGAACCGCAGCCATACCTCTCCAGACCCCGCCGAGATGCCCACATGTACGCTTGTGTCTCCCTCCTTTCCACAGTGTTCAACCTGAACTGTCGTTGCAGGGCAATTTCGTCACGCCCAACAGGCTCCAGAGTTCAACGCACGCGTCAGTACGCCGGGAGGGACGAGTACCAACGTGCGTAGCTCGAAGGAGCCTACCCAGTACAAGGTGGCCACGCCCGCCGACACCAAGGATACCTCCGGTGGTGGCGGTTTAGCGTCCAGCGGGATGGTGCAGGCTCGGGCTCCCAGCGATGGCGGACATGAACTCGGGGGCAACCGCTCTGGCAGCCGAGGGGGCGAGGGTAGTGCCGTTGATCCTCGGGGCAAGGATAACCATGCGCCCAAGAGAGGCGATGGCTCGCATGACCAGGGCATCGTCGCCTCCATCCTCACATCGATACAGGTGAGTATAACATTGTGACTTTACGATTGATTAAAATCTCATCTGCTTCCAGGGCGATCCTCGGAAGGGCACACAGGACTCGAACGGGCACGTTGGTCAACCCGCGCCTGTTCAAAGACAGAACGACCGTGGTGCTGTGTACACGAAGGTAAATATCTTCAGTTCTCAATCCGCTTGCCGACGCAACTCTGATATTTCTCACCCAGAACACAGACTTCGTAGACGGTTACAAGCGGGATTGAGTGTCATGCTTCCGACTGGAGACCAACGAGAGTATCATGAGAGGCCGCAGTATTTACATGGAGACGAATAGAGACGCACAGTAGATTGAATGGTTCAGTTTGTGACACCGCCGTGTTGTACAAACTCTGGTAGTACTAAGGCTCTGCATTACCACCACGGTGCTATAGTGTAGTGGTTATCACTCGGGATTTTGATGTTGTTGTGCAGACTTTCCCGAAACCCAGGTTCGAACCCTGGTAGCACCTAACTACCGTTTTTTAAGCTTTGTTCACGGTTGAGCCTCGATGCTGTGCGGTCGGATGTACCCACCACAAGCTTGAAGGCAAGCTAAACACCTACTTACCATAGCAGATTCAACAGTGCTGCATTGGCACTTCATTGAGGAAGTTGAATAAGGCCAACGCGGGCGGGATTGTATGATTGACAGATCGAGGGAACGTAGAGGTCACGGCGCCAGCTATACGCAGCAAGTCTAAGGGTGATGAGGGTGCTGAGAGTGCGAATATGTAAAGTACGTGCTAGTATAGTATTGCAGAACGAATAGCGGCCGTGGCCAATCATGCTACAAAGTGTGCGACGAAAATCCGGGGGGCTATACACGAGGATAAATACTAGCGAATGTGGGCCTACGCCGGCCGTCTAACGTCGGCCGAAGGAGTAGTAGTGAATTAGTGAAGGAGTGATGGGAGTGAATCTTGGGAGCGGAGGTAGTAGGGGGTGAAAGGAACTCTAGAGTGAATGTGGTGCATAGCCCGATCCGTCGGCGGTCCATAGCCTCGCGGCGGCCGCGGACGCAATACGTAAAGATGTCGGGAATAGGGAGTGTGTAAGTCTGGGATGACGGGGACGTGCCGAGGGTCCGCTTGACACGGTTGCCCTCAACGACGTCCGAAAGGACACTAGAAGAGTGGCAGGCAATTAAGGATACAAGATCTTATGAGAAGGGCATCAGTCAATGTCACTGGCAGGACGGCAAGGGAACATACCTACATCTGCTGTAACAGGCTCGGTGGGAGAACGGGTGACGGCGGCCTCAGCCTCCGCATCACGTTCACTTGCGACGTGGGAGGAGGTCGACGCAGAGTTCACGGCGGACCCTGTCGCCATCGGCGCCGAAGTAACGCGTGGTCTCGAACGACCACACGAGGTTGCCGATCATCCAGTCCGCGAGGCCGTCGATGTAGATTTGCAGCTGGTCGTCGATCTCGGGGCCCCAGGAGGGGAGTGCGCGCCGGAGCGCCTCGAAGCGGTCGATGCACCCGAAGCAGAGGTCGCCGACGTAGTCGATGGCCTCTTGCAGCTCGAGGCCCTCTTGGTGCTGCACGACCACGATCATGTTGTGCGTGTCGCCTGTGTAGGAGACGCGCGTGAGCCCGTGTACGTGTTGTGGGGAAGAGAACGGGAGAACGCCGGGAGATGAGATCCGGGTACGTACCACGAGCCTGTTCCACGTTGAAGGAGAAGATGTCCTGTAACCGGCGGGAGCAGAGAAGTCAGTACCGAATGCCAGTCGGAGAGCGGAGGAAGAGGAAGACGGGGGCCACGGGAGAAACCGAAAGAACACGCACATTCGACCACTAGAAGCAGACGGAGCCAGTCAGTCAGTATACGTCCCGGCGGGATTGCCCCAGAAACAAGCATGGTACTCACCGTGACCAGATCGTTGGCTGCATCGCCGAGGCCCGCAACAATGGGGTGGTACATGACCCAGTCCGGAAGATCGAGCTGCCGGGCGCGTGAGACCATCTTCTCGCGGAAGTAGTAGTGCAAAGGTTCCACACTCACGTTGTTCGCATACTCGATCAGGGCCCAGCACGGCTTGCACCCGCTGGTGTCGCGGCGCATGTTGATGTACGATTCAAGGTCGGGGATGGTGTTCGACGCCTTGTCCTTGACCTGCTGCGTGACGGCGTTGAAGTACAGCTCGAAGGTGTCGATGAAGCGTTTCTGCGCGTTGAGAGAGCCTGTAGCAGTGAGCCGGCGCCAGAAACTGTCAAAGAAGCCAAGGGTCAGTTCCAGGGCCCAGGCTCCAACACATCGAAGGCAAGGACGACGCGGAAAAAGATGGAGAAGGCGATGACCGTGACAGTCAATGCATGGGCGCCGGCCACGAGGATACTCACCACTGCGTCAGCCTTCCTACTGCGGACGTCGGCCGAAAAGCGTGCGGGTTGCGCAGGGCGCCGATGAGCTCGTTCGCCGTGCTCGCCGTCTTGCGGTCGTCGAGCTTCTCGCAGATGTCGTCGAGGTTGAAAAGATAGTTGATGAAGTCGCAGCACACTCGCAGCTGATCGTAGTCGACGAGCGGGTAGCACATGGCGGTAAGGAGGCCGCCCTTAAGCCCGTCGAACGCGGCACGCCTCTTCTTGCTGAGCCGGCACCCTGCGAGGAGCCATTGCTTGGACTCATCAGAGACGCGTTGGCCGTCTATGCTGACGCGCAGTGCGTAGGGGAAAGCACCGATGAGGTCAGGGAAGTGCAGCTTTGTGGGGCGCGAGTCGGAAGGAGAAGCAGCGGCGACGGCCATTTCTTCGGAGAATAGAGTAGGAGAGACGAGAAAGAAAGGGGGGAAACTGTGAGGGAAACGAAACACGGAAGCACAAACATCATGGTCGAGATATTGGAGTTTATATGTCGCAGCCAAGAGCGAACCGCGCAAGGGAGGGGGGAGGGGGCCGGAATATTCTGCAAAATCCGGAGGAAATTGGTGGGGACGCGGAACACATGCCAGGGTTCGCGCAGCGGGGCGCGGTGGGACCTCGAAGCGGTGTGGCGAAATTGCGGGCCCACGACGCGAGATGCGAAGGGAGGCTGGAGGAGAGGGACCGCTCTCGGCATAAGATCCCGCGTGCGCGTTTCAGATCGAGCGAGCGTTTCGCAGAAAGGGTCGCGTCGGCTAGCGGTGAAGTTGTGCGAAGCACGAGGCGCGACAGCCTCCGCCAAACAATAAGCTCGCTCGCTCGCGGGAAAATCACCTCGAAAGGGCTTCTGCAACGGGCGCAAGAACGCGAGTCCCTTCCACGGTCATTGATGTCAATGGCGACTTGGCGCTGCTAAGAGCATACTGTAGCGGAGGCTGTGAATAGTGAGCGAGGAGTCCCGACGTAACGAGGAGGCTGTCGCCACTCACACTGCGAATATTGGGTTGCCCTGGGCGACTGGCTAGCTGCTGCCGCCATTTCCTCACTCGGTCTCTCGGACATCTAAATCAAGAGTAGCGAGTGCTTCTGGTTTCCCGACCGGGCCCGGAGTTATTGTGCGATTGTGCGGAACAAAGGGAGTAAGTGCGGAGCGCAACGAACAGTTTGCAGCCCGACCCCGAAGATGATCATCTCTGACCCCAGCAGGGAACTCTGAGTCAGTCAGATGTGGCCAAATGCCAACTTTGGGCGCACGACGTGGCTTGGTGGGAGCTACAGCCGTCGTGGGAGATTGGTCAAAGGAAACAAACGCCGAGACGGCAAAGAGTGGTCAAGATTCGCGCTCGGAAATCTCCCGAGCGATCTCACAACGGTATCTGTTGCATATACGCGAGCGCGTAAGTTACCTTCATGCTAATTTCGCTTGGGATTGTGAGAACCCACGAGTCAGCATCCGTTCGGGGATTCCATTCCAGCGTAAGACACACCAGTATACCTTCGTAGAGCGTGGTTAAACGGCCAAAGGAGGGGGAGCCCAGTGCGACAGTCGACCGTGATAGTGGCGTTGGAAAAATGCAAAGGTTCCGCTGTTCTCAACCGGATGCGCCATGCGGGGTTCGCGTAAGTAGCGGACATCGGAGCCGCGGGCTCAAAGTTGCATCATCCGCAATATTGATTCCTACCCTTTCCCAAGTTACCGCCAGGTGTGAATATCAATATTACTTCCGGTAAAGCTCCAGGAGGGTTCCAGGCTGCGCGCCGTCACCGACGGCACATTTCGGGGGGTCACGTAAACGGCAGGATGGTTCCTGGAACAGTAGCGGAAGCAGATCTCGGCCACCTACATTTCGAGCAAATCTGCTGTGAGCGCATGCGAGTCAGACGGATGTCACACACTATGCCATGAGGCTGTCCAACTACTTACGGACTTCCTTGATTGGAATGCGCGACGGGAGCGGGCCGACCTCTCCAGTCTGTTCAGGTACCCTCAAGGGTAACAGTGATCACTGAAAGGAGACGCACCAGAACTGAGCAAGCGAGACGGATGACGATGATTACAAATTCTTCCCTGGTTGCGAACTCACCTCTAGTACGTACGAAATTTTCGCGTGGACGGGATTCTCCAGAATTCCTTGAGAATATTCGGCGGCCGCCTCCAGATTGACTTGGCTCGCTCAGAATCTGAGATCTGGGGTCTCGACGGACTCTTCTGTCATTTCTTCTGCAGACGGTATCCAGCTACTGATACAATATCGTACCTAGTCTGCTAGGCGATGATAGTGAGTGAGGTTGGCTATGTGGATGTCGATTAAATATGCACCTGATTGCTCCGCATATCTACGACATGTCCGCAACCCCAACTTCGCAGGGCTCGCTGAGGATTCTCCTGTAATGGGCGAATCAGTGTTTGTATTGCACCGAAGGTGATCCCAGGAAACTCCGTATAGGCGAGCGAAAGCGGTTTACTCACTAAGGACATTGCCACAGCAACAATAGTGGACATGACCCTGGGAACTGCGCCGGAGAAAGATCGCAGCAATATGAGATTCGTCAAAGGCCGGATAGGGCCAAGCATGTGCGGAGAGCGCGAGTCGCGGTGTTGTCAATGTCACTGACTGACCAGGAGAGAGCATACATGCTGCGGAGCAACCGTGGATCTCCGCTTCAAGTTGGACGGAGACACTCCAAGACACCGATCATTATTTAGGCAGCAAAATCGACGTCAGGACCACTCTAAGATATGAATAAATATGGGCAATAATACACACCGTTTGTCTAGTTGGGGATGACGTGAGGCCATTTGTATGGGCGGATATGAGGACTTGACGGCCCTGTCATGCAGAATAGGTGGGCACGGCAACGGTGCGAAGTCTCCGGATGTAAGGAAGACAGTGTCACCGCTAGATCATTCTATGAGGCTTTACGAGAACGGGCGCAGAAAGGACGCCACATCTTCGCAGTGTCGGAATAACGCGGTCGTCTCGACTAGAGTAGTGTTGACCCCACCGTTGGAACCTACTGACGACGGTTGTTATCCTTGCAGTAATTTCTCTCTTGGGCAGGTCGAACTTCTGACCTTGAGGCTCTGCCAGTGCGGCCGTACC